CCCCAATGACTCATCTAAAATAACACAAGAGGCATATCAAAATAGACATTAATACCCTCTTGAAAATAAACGGTGGGGCCCGGCAGAAATAAACACTGGTCAGAGGGCTCGGTCTGCGGGTCGTGAGACTGCAGGGCCTGCAGCCTCTCCTTCAGCTCCTGCTATTACAACAACATACCAAACACATCGACGTCCACGGGGAGCTCAAGCTGAAGTGACTGAGCAGCTCTTTTGGGATACCACAAGGTTGTCTGATGAATAATGGGCACTTTCCAGGGCAGAATACTCAAAGGGATGTGTGCCAGCTGTAATATCCGGGGCATGATGAGCGACAGAGGTTTAATGGGCTTTGGTGGAGATTTGTCTGATTGGGCTTATGGGTTAAAGGTTAACTGCTTTGTAGGAAATAACTAGAATTACCATCCTGTGGTTGTATGCCTCCGCCAGCCAGTCAAATAGCAGTTCACATCCTTGTCCGTTCTGACTCGTGTAACTCGTGTGAAGAAGTGTGGTGAAGAAGATATAAAGTGTATTTTTTGGCTACATGGTGGTAATGAATATATTGATGGTACATAAAAATGATTCCAAGTAGAGTTATTTGTATTTTTCATCAGTTTTGCTCGTTTCAGTTTAGTTTTTATTAGTTGCAATGGTAGTTTTAATCTTTTTATTATATTATGGGGGTTATTTGTCAGTACCAAGATTAAATGATTTCAGTACAGGTTTTAAACCGATTGACTCACAGTCACGTAGACATCCCAGTCTCAACAATCATGTATATTTTCTATTTTATTTTAGTTAGTTTTGTAAGTATACAATATCGTTTTAGTTGTTTTTTTTCTGATGTCTAGTTTTTATTTTTATTTCCCGTAACTAAAGTTGTTTCACACTATACTCACAGGAATTGACCAAATTATGGCTAAAACCCTATTTTGAGGTCATGCTGACTTTTGACCTTTGAGTCATCGATTCAGTGTACAACCAGCTGTGACAGATGGTCACAATCTCCCCGTCTGTTCCTGAGTTTCAGTGTTTGATTAATGACCAAAAAGGTGTCACCGATTCATTGTCCGACCATCAATTCTCGAGTTATGGCCAAAAACGTGTTTTTGTGAGGTCACAGTGACCTTTGACCTTTGACCACTAAATTCTAATCAGTCTAAATGGATGTTTGTGTCAAATGTTGAGAAATTCAATTCAATTTATTTGTATAGTGGCAACTAAAAACAGAAGTTATATCAGAACACTTTTCCAGACCTCATAAATTCTCAAATCGTGTTCACAAGAATGAAACAGACGGACGGACGGACGGACAAAACATAAACATATGTTTTATGTTTTATAAAACATAAACATTAAAAAATATATTACTTCTCTGCTGCTCCCCTTAAAATTGGTATTTATGTCCCTTTCTCCCCAAAATTCAGACTTACGACGATTAAAATAGTTTGGTTTGTTAAAATCTAAGTAATCTGAATACTTCCAGCTGTTGAATGTTTCCATCTTCCAAACTAGTTTCCTCCACAATTACAAAAATAAATCCAAGGATGTGATTGGATTATTGGAGGGTGACAACAAAAAGAACCTATTTATTAGTAATTAGATACACTACTAGTTACTGGAAAAAGTAATATTATTACTAATAATGATTCTAGTTTCAACTAACTGGTGTATTTTTTCTCAATGGGTCTTTTTTTTTTTAAATTTTATTGTTATTTAAATCATCAACCAAAGAGGTAAAAGTTGCAATAATCAAATCCACCAATAATCACGTCAGTGCTGATGAACAACCAATCAATAAAAGCTTTTTCTTTCTTACATATTTCCATGGAGCAAATAACATTTCATGACATTTAGATTACATTAAACATGAAAAGTTCATTATTGAACTTTAACATTGACTTTGAGTCAAGTTTTGCTTCACTGCTCATATTAATGATGATATTGAGCCACAGGACGTATCGTAACTGCATCCACTGACATTTACACAAAGAAAAAAACAACAGTTCATCTTATTTAAATCTTCAGTAAGTCCGAAGATATAAAAGATATCAGCATACAGTCTTAAATTGAACTGAAATGTAAAACCTGACACCAGTATCATTGTATTTTTCTTTTTTTCTGGCTCCATTAAAGCTACTGTCACTCAAAATATATGATGTAACATCGTGAGCTGTTGTTTGTGAGTCATTTCTGTGTGTTTTTCTGGCACGGGCACAAACCCAGAAAACTACATAACAGCTTGGCAGATTCAGTATGTTAATGATGGAGAAAGAAAAACTAAGTTTCAAATTTTGTGCTGAAATTAAACTGTTGATGAACTGGTATCAGACTATCAGTGCAGTGAGTAGACAGGCTGACTCTTGACCTTTGACCTTATACTGATAACCTGTGGTTGAATGTAACTAATATTTACTCAAGTACTGTGCTTAAATACAAAAAAAGTGAGATTCTTGTACTTTACTTGAGCTTTTTGACACTTTTTACTTAGTTTAGGAACTCTTTACTCCGCCACATTTATTTGACAGCTTTAGTTACTTTTTTTAAAACTTTTTTTTCACACAAAACGCTTAAGAAAAATGTTTTATTATAAATTAAACTACTCAACAGTTTATGTAAGTACAGCTGAAATGACTAGTCACTTAATCTATTTTGATAATTGTCATTTTTCATTTAAAATTATTACAATTATTTTAATTTATTTTTAATAATATTGAGGTTTAGACTGTTGGTTGGACAAAACAAGCATTGTGAAGGTGTGCCTTTGGGCTCTGGGTAATTGTGGCACCATTTCTCATGAGTTTCATAATTCTTACAAACCAAACAATCAATCAAATAATCAGCCGATTAATCTATAATGAAAATAATAATCTTATTAATCTTACTTTAACAGACGACTAATAATAATCCAACATGTAATAGTATTACAGTCACATGAGCCATCTTTCTGCATTGAGTACCTTTAATACTACATTCTCCTGATTATACTTAGATACGGCTACAAGTACAATTTTAATGCAGGACTTTTACTTGTAACGCAGTATTTTTACAATGTTAATTTTAAGTGTCTAAACTTCCTCCATCACTGCTGATAACCTCAGTAATATAACTGATAACTGACTTTCTCTCAGAATACTTCACTCACACAGAAAATAATGCTTATTTCAATACTACAGCCTGTATATAATGCTTTAAATAAGTTCTAAACACTGAATAATAAATCAGACAACGTGTAAATGCATACGCTCTCTTGCTCTTCTGGTTGACTCATCTCTGTCTGTGCTGTTACAGTTCAGTCATGCTGTGAACAGTCAAGAAGTGATGTCAGAAAACATGACACTGTAGAAAACACACCAGTCACAGGTGCTCTGTGCAAAAACTGTGGCAGCTGTGTAAGCTACATATGACAGCATATTTGTGTGTGTGTGTTTTGGTTGGTTTATGTTTATGTGCGTGCTGGCATGCGGCTGTTTGTGTGCATGTGTGTGTTTGTTTTTGACAGTGTGTGTGTGTGTGTGTGTGTGCGACCTTGACACTGAGCTACACAAGGGAGACCCCTGAGCCTCTTCTCCCCTCCTCCCCCACCCTCCCTCCCTCCCCTCGTCTCCTAAACAACCTGACACGTTGCCGTCACTACGGTGATGACAAGGGGAGGATGTTCGCACCCAGGGATGCCATGGAGACCACATCCCGACCCCACCTGACAGACGCAGCTAAACATACACACACATAAGCACACACACAAAGGGTAGCACAGGAAAGAAAACTTGTACATCCAAATACACACACACACACACAGCCTCGACATCTAAATTCTTCTCAGTGAATAGTCGAAGCTGCCTGAATCCACGAGCTGACTGGGAAGAGTGGAGGAGATAATCTCCCAACTTTGCTTCTCCAGCTTCGCCATGTTTTATCTCAGCACTTCTCAGGCAAATTATCCTCCTTTTTGTCCGCTCTGTCTAATATCATACCTTCATTAAGCAAGCAACTCTCTTCTGCTGTTCTTCTTCTCTCTCTCAGTCTCTCTCTCTGCAGCAGGGGGGCTGACACTCAGAGGGGGTGTAGAAGAGCAGTGAGGCAGAACCGACAGAACGAGAGGGAGAGAGGAGGGATGTGGGGGGGTGGGGTGGGGGGGCATCAGGGTCTGTGACTGTCAGCTATGGGAGAGGGATCCCCCCGGGAGGAGTGAAGGTTCAGGAGAAAAGAAAGAAAGAGCAAAAGAGTGAAAAACGAGAGAGAGAGAACAAGTCAGCGGAGAGATGGATTAAAAAAAGAGGAGAAGAAATAGGGAAGAATGTTGTTTTGATGTGAAGGGTGACGGGTGGGCTGTAGTCAGGCGGGCCAGAGGACGAGAGAGAAAAATAAAAGAGAAAGGGGTGAAGGGAAGAGTGGGAGGGGAAGACAAGAGGAAGAGTAGACCCCAGACAGTAAGTAGTAAATGAGGGAGAAAAGCTACGCTATCATCCACTGTATGGGAAGACCACTACAGTCTCGCTGAGAGCTCCAGTTCAAGTCAACCTCAACTGGTCTGCAAACCATTCTACTGAAAACAAAGAGCAGGATAAAGAAATCTGATCATTTGTCATTGCCTTTAAAAACAAGGCATCTACCACCACTGTGGTTAAGGTTTGGTTGTGTAGGCACACAAATAACTTAACTTAATAAAAACAAATATATAATTTAATGTTGGTTTCTGACAGATAAAAGCAATTTGCACACCGACACTACCCTTGTCTAAAATGCATAAAAACAGATAATTGTAGGCATTTAAACAAACTAATGCTCTCATTTCCCTAATGAGGACAGTCACAGAGTTGTACATGCACACTAGCAAAGGCTGGTAGCTCAGAATGTTAAAGACTCAGTTGAAGCCAACATAAAAGATTAAAACCAAAAATATTCAGCATCCTGTTTCTTAAAGAAAAGAAACAGACAAGATTATCATCTCTATCCTCTGCTGCCTCTAAACATGCTCCGTTTCTTGTGCTTTCTTTCAGGGGGAGATTTTTCCGGAAGTCCATATTCCCATCCCCAGTATTCCACGTACAATGAATCATGGAGATTTCCTAACCCCAGTTTATTAGGTAGGTGTATCCCTTGTCTATCTGCTGACCAGAACTGGATCAATAATTGTATCAATGAATTTCATTTCATTCTACCTCACGTCCCAGTTCCAGCCTCTCTAATACTCTCTTGTAATATGCTGTATCTTTCATGCTCCACTGTTCATTTTTATATTACATTACATTTCTTTCTGTATTGTGCCGTACAGTACAATACATTATAGACATACTAATGGTTCTGTGGAAGGATTTTTTAAAAGACCGGCAATTTGGGGTGTGAATGGATTTGAAGAAAGGGGAAGCAGACAGAGAGAGAGAGAGAGAGAGAGAAGGGAACAGATTAACAGGCGTTTATCTGCTGGATTTCATGTTATACAGTTATTGTGGAGGAAGTTCAGTCCGACCTCTTATTTTTTTATCTTTCATGCAGTCACCCTCACATTAACAACATTAA